AATGCGTGGCAAAAATTACTACAAGTACTTAAAAAGCACTCACTCGAGTACTTTTTGCAAAATTGCACCGATAAGGCTTTAAAAGCCGGCAATCCGTGCCACAAGATCAAAGAACATTGGGGCGTTTAATGCGAGCAAAAATATTTATGATACGTCAAAATAACCATTTTTATGCTTAATCCATTCAGTATCGTAAAAAAAACCATAAAACCCGGGACGATAGTGTAGATATAGTAGAGTGAATGGCAACAATTTGTAGTAGATCTACATATTTAATATTGAATATACGATCCGAGAAACTGTAAATTTGAATAACGTCGAACTTTAGTGGCCCATAAAGTCGATGTTGTGAATATTAAGTATTTAAAATAAAACGTAACTGTACGGGACGTTTAAATGTAATTATGGGAGTAATTTGGTTCCTATGGAACTTGCCCGTGGGTTACTGTAAAGTTTAATAGATAATTTCGATTTTATAGTGGGAACAATGTGTGCTCATTTCGTTATATGATGAAAAAAACATGTTTACCTACATTTTAATCCTTGGCCAATATTAATCAATATGTATGTACAACAATGTAACATTTTATAACAGCCTTTGATAGGATCTGCTTTTGTCATGCAATAAGTGTGTTAGGGCTTCGTTTTTGACCATAATGACGTCCAAACAAGGGGCAAACCACCTAGGAATTCTTTGCCAAAAATGTCGAGAATTTAAAGGAATTTGTGGGAAATTTAGAGGAGTTTGTGGGGAATTTGAAGGAACTCATCAAAATTTATGAGAATTTGGGAGAATTTGTGAGGAATTTGAAGGAAATTGTAGGGTCATGACATCACTGAGGTTCACACTCTTATTATAAAAAATAGTAATAAATGGAAATTTTAAATAAAATCTAGTTTTGTGTTGGACATTTTTATTAAAGAAATCCTCCCAAAATTACACTTGATGATTTACAGGTCCAAATTTAAAAAATTCAAAAGAATAATGAATACAGTTTTTGTAAGCTGTTTTCCAAAATATTTCATGTTACTGTTTTTCAATGGAAAAATTTGAAACTTTGGGAAAATCAGCTTCGTACCTTCCTCTCTACATGCAAAAAGTTTCAAAATTTTCCCTTCACTAGTTTTCCAGGAAAACTTTGAAATGTGTAAGACTGTATTTTCAATTAGGTAATTCAGTTATTGTAGCTTGATTTCCAAGATTTCTCATGTTGTGATTTTCTACTAGAAACATTTTAAATTTTGGGGAAAATGAGCTTCGCACCTTCCTCTTTACTTACAAAAAGTTTCAAAACTTTCCCTTCACTAGTTTTCCAAGAAAACTTTGAAATATGTGAGACTGTATTTTCAATTAATCCAGTTATTGTAAGTTGATTTCCAAGATACCTCATGTTGTAATTTTCTACTAGAAAAATTTGAAATTTTTGGAAAATGAGCTTCTCACCTTCCTCTTTACTTACAAAAAGTTTCAAAACTTTTCCTTCACTAGTTTTCCAGGAAAACTCTGAAATATGTGAGATTGTATTTTCAATTAATCCAGTTATTGTAGGTTGATTTCCAAGATTCCTCATGTTGTAATTTTCTTCTGGAAAAATTTGAAATTTTGGGAAAATGAGCTTCTCACCTTCCTCTTTACTTACAAAAAGTTTCAAAATTTTCCCTTCACTAGTTTTCCAAGAAAACTTTGAAATATGTGAGACTGTATTTTCAATTAATCCAGTTATTGTAAGTTGATTTCCAAGATACCTCATGTTGTAATTTTCTACTAGAAAAATTTGAAATTTTTGGAAAATGAGCTTCTCACCTTCCTCTTTACTTACAAAAAGTTTCAAAACTTTTCCTTCACTAGTTTTCCAGGAAAACTTTGAATATTTGAGACTGTATTTTCAACTAATTCAGTTTTTGTAGGTTGATTTCCAATATTTCTTATGTTGTTATTTTCCACTAGAAAAATTTGAAATTTTAGAAATATGAGGTTCTTACCTTTCTCTTTACATGCAAAAAGTTTCAAAATGTTCCCTTTTCTAGTTTTCCAGGAAAACTTTGAAATATGTGAGACTTTATTTTCAATTAATTCAGTTATTGTAGGTTGATTTCCAAGATTCCTCATGTTGTAATTTTCTACTGGAAAACTTTGAAATTTTGGGAAAATGAATTTCTCACCTTCCTCTTATACAAAAAGTTTCAAAGTTTTCCCTTCACTAGTTTTCCTGGAAAACTTTGAAATATTTGAGACTGTATTTTCAACTAATTCAGTTTTTGTAGGTTGATTTCCAATATTTCTTATGTTGTTATTTTCCACTAGAAAAATTTGAAATTTTAGAAATATGAGGTTCTCAACTTTCTCTTTACATGCAAAAAGTTTCAAAATGTTCCCTTCTCTAGTTTTCCAGGAAAACTTTGAAATATGTGAGACTGTATTTTCAATTAATTCAGTTATTAGAGGTTGATTTCCAAGATTCCTCATGTTGTAATTTTCTACTGGAAAAATTTGAAATTTAAGAAATATGAGCTTCTCACCTTCCTCTTTAAATGCAAAAAGTTTCAAAATGTTCCCTTCTCTAGTTTTCCAGGAAAACTTTGAAATATGTGAAACTGTATTTTCAATTAATTCAGTTATTGGAGGTTAATTTCCAAGATTCCTCATGTTGTAATTTTCTACTGGAAAAATTTGAAATTTTAGAAATACGAGCTTCTTACCTTCTTCTTTACATGCAAAAAGTTTCAAAATTTTTCCTTCACTAGTTTTCCAGGAAAACTTTGAAATGTGTGAGACTGTATTTTCAATTAATTCAGTTATTGTAGGTTGATTTCCAAGATTCCTCATGTTGTAATTTTCTACTGGAAAAATTTGAAATTCTGGGAAAATGAGCTTCTCACCTTCCTCTTTACATGCAAAAAGTTTCAAAATTTTCTCTTCACTAGTTTTCCAGGAAAACTTTGAAATATTTGAAACTGTATTTTCAACTAAATCAGTTTTTTTAGGTTGATTTCTAATATTTCTTATGTTGTTATTTTCCACTTGAAAAATTTGAAATTATAGAAATAATAGCTTCTCACTTTCCTCTTCACATGTAAAAAATTTCAAAATTATCTCTTCAGTAGTTTTCTAGGAAAACTTTGGAATGTGTGAGATTGTATTTTCAATTAATTCAGTTATTGTAGGTTGATTTCTAAGATTCCACATGTTGTAATTTTCTACTGGAAAAATTTGAAATTTTGGGAAAATGAGCTTCTCACCTTCCTCTTTACATGCAAAAAGTTTCAAAATTTTCCCTTTTCTAGTTTTCCAGGAAAACTTTGAAATATTTGAGACTGTATTTTCAACTAATTCAGTTTTTGTAGGTTGATTTCCAAGATTTTTCATATTGCTGTTTTCCACTTGTAAGAGACATTTGTAGGAAGTTTGAGAGAAGTTTGGAGGAATTTGTGAGAATTTGGAGGAATTCGCAGTGAATTTAGAGGAATTTGTGTGGTATTTTGAGAAGTTCATGGTGGGGTATTTAGAGGAATTTGTGATGGGGTATCTGGAGGCATTTGCAGGAATTATGCGTAAAAAATTCCCATTTGAGGAATTGTTTGCACCAATTCTGGGATGGTGGTTTACTCCTTGCGTCCAAACTATTAAGTTCTTGATTTGAAACGAACTTCAGGCAATGTAATTTCGTAAATCTGCCTGGCTTATCACGAGATTAAATGGCTAGGCACCGGATTCTCAAAACGAAGATGTAAATGATTTATTTTCCTCGGCACTCATATCAGCTTATACCTGGAACTGAGGAAGATAAGAAACTTGTTCTCATAGAAATAGAAATGTGCTCCCTTGTTTTGAGAATCAGACTCCTGACCATCTATCCTCGTGATAATCCTTCATCCTGTCAAAATGCACCAGTTTCATAATTCATTTATCATTTTCCATCTACCAACTACACTGCCTACCAGTAATACTATCTATGTTTGAAGGATAAAGATTGGTCTTCCAGTTTTTCTTTTGTTGTTTGCCGAAAACACTTACTGTTCCCACTAATTAGCTAAAAATGACTGATTTTCGAAATGAAGATGTGAACGAATTTTCTCTTTTAGTCACTCATGCTTATATACATGGAAATGATAAGGTTAAATTCTTGTTCTCACAGGAACATGATTCCTTTGCTTTTGGACTGAAATATTTTGTAGTTGATGAAACATCAACTTTAAGAAAAATTTTAACAATCCTATATTCATTTCATTTGGCGCCACAGACAGAAAAATCAGATTCTTGTCTGGGTTCTCAAATATCGCACACACTTTTTCACGAGGATGTTCTCATATACCGAGGGGTAAACCACTAGTGCAAATCATTGTACATTTTTTTGGGAATCACATAGTAATCAATCAGGAATAGGTCCATGGAATTTGTTGGAAATTTGTAGGAATTTGCGGGTATTTTGAAAATTTGTTCAGGGGAGGAGGTTGTTTACCCCTTCCCTGTTGTACGTATCTTATTGGTAACAAATGGAGAACGTATAGTTTTTCCTTCAACTCAAGTTGAACAGATTCTGTCTGAATTTTTCAAACCTAGCTATGACAGAACATCTTTACTCGCATGTCTAAGTGTGCCATGTATTATCATGATTAGGTTACATTCCTGTTTTAGTCAGACACCTAATTTTCGAAATGAAGATGTGAACGAATTTTCTATTTTAGTCACTCATGCTTATATACCTACATGGAATTGATAAGGATAAGAAACTTGTTCTCACAGGAACATGATTCCTCTGTTTTTGGACTGAAATATTTTGTAACTGATAAAACATCAACCTTAAGAAAAATTTAAACAATCTCATATTCATTTCATTCGGCGACACAGACAGAAAAATCAGATTCTTGTCTGGGTTCTCAGAAGAAAGCTTAACTTCACAAACCTTCTTATCAGAAAGGATATACATTACCTATTTAGACTAAAATTAGAATTATGTATATTTGATATGTAGTTTATTAATAGTTTGTTTCTTTTTCAGACACCCTCTATTCCCTTTACTGGCCCTTATATTCGAAAAATGTGAATTAGCAACGTGTACACCTAGAGAACCGGGAGTAGCTGGTGGTGATGTATGTTCCTCGGAATCGTTTAACGAAGACATAGCAGTTTTTTCTAAACAAGTAAGTACCTTATATACAACAACCTCATATATTCAGGGTGTTTGTTCCTTGAAAATAAAAACTTGTTGACGCAAGGTAAGGAAGTCTAGTCGTGGTTGTTTAAAGAGCCCCCGGTATTATTATACAATTATTATTATCGTCAAGCGCAGCCTGTATAAATTTTATTTACATTTTGGACTTATCGTCGTGATATTATGCTTATCTGGATGATAAACATAGAAACACATGTAAAACATCTACAGAATTTATATTGTACTCGAAATACGATAAGAGCGTACACGCATTGAATTGCTTATGTTGACTGTTGGGTCTCTCAACTGCATAACAATATTTATTTACATCACTTCTTTTTATTTTCAAAAAAAAAACTACTTAACATTTTAATTAACTACTGTAATAAGGAAACGTAAAATGTCCGACATTAAAAGTTACCTCACATTTTATGGACCAATCATTGGGAGCTCGTTGCATCTCTTGCACTCCACTTAATCTAAATAAAGTGAAAAGCACCTCTCTTGGATGATTTACATTCAGACATAATATTGTTTTAATGGTTTACAAGTTTTTATAGTTATTTCTGGCTTCAACAAACAATGATTGTCGTTGCCAAATTTAAAGATTTTTTGATAATGGAAACTATTTCGGGGCTTTGAAACATCTCCAAAAATCCTTGACAGAAAGGTTCAGAAGTAAAGTGAATTTTTACCTGGTAGAAATATAATGAGGTGTAACTGTAAAAGGGGACCCTTTTAAATGTTTGGACGGGTGTCCCAAGTGCATGATTTACGGTCATCGCCTTAAATGATCGATTTTTGGTACCTTTCAATTTGGAGATAAATATAGATATTTTCTGGTTTTTTTTTTTTCAAAAACCATTTATTTAATTTTTTTTTAAGAGGTTGATGATACAAATGATAGGTGTTTGGGCTTGAGTCGGACATTATTTATTTAGGTGGTTTTTTAAGAAGGGGCATTTGTCCAGCCACAGTTCACTAGGAGATCATTTTGTTTTCTATTTCATCTCATCTGTTTCTCAAGAGTTTGAGATTTTTGTTTTTCTTTATTACTTATTTCTTTTGCTTCCTAAATTTGATTTTGTATTATTTTTCTTGTTTCTTTGTTTATACCTTTTAATATAGTTTCCTTTTCGATCGTTTGAAAGATTCTCTGCCATGGATGAGAAAATTACTTTTAACATTTATGAAGTGCTTTTGGAGTGCTCTTGAATTGCTTCTCTCTATTTCTCAATTTTTGTCTATTCTCGGCTTTTGAATTTTCGTTTTCTTCCAAATTTCTCTGAATAAAAATGAAGGTCCTTTTGAATGTATTTGTTTCACTTACAAAATGTATTGAAAGGAAAAGTTGGAAGAGCAAAATCAACAAAACGTACAAGTCAGAAAAAATAAACAGTAAATGAATAATTATTGTGGAATAAGAAGAAGATGAACATATCTCCGTAAAAGACCAATGGTCAGAGAACGAGAATCAATTGAAAGAAATAATACATTGAGAAAAGTTGAAAAAAACTTCTGATAAACTGTCAAATAATGCAATCTGACGGATAAACATTCAATCTTTGGTCTGCTAGTTACCCACCGACCAATAGGATTAGAGATTGGAAGATTTATCCTGTAGACAGTTACAGTTACTAGTAAGTTTATCTGAAAATGAATAAACCGAGCCTAAGCCTAATATATTGGTTGTGGGAGGCACCAATGCCTATAAATGTTGAACATAGCTTTGTATGTGGAAATCTGAAGGACTGATATGTTAACAAAATTTGGTTCTATATTCTTGAAGAGCACAATTTCCCGATTCTAAAACTATATAGTTTGTCTATATTTAGTTGAGCGGTCTCTAACATATTTGGTTCTAAAAATTCTAAAAATACTATCACCTCAAATTTTACTGCAACTTTCACTTGTCGGGTAGAATGGTTCACAAAATCATTAGTAGGATAGTATTTTTACAATTTTTGGAGCCGAATATATTAGAGATTGCTCAATCAAATATAGATCAGGGCATTGTGCTCTTCAAAAATATAGAATGAAATATAAGGCATCCCATTTGAAAAAAGCATGCAAAATTTCACATTTCTGACATTCAAATTTGTTTCTGACCATGGTTTCTAAAAATTCAACCAAAACTGTACAACTTTTGTATTTACACCTTTTTACTATCTGTAAAGGTAAAGGTTGTAGGTGGGCTGCTAATATATAAAAAACACCCTGTACAAATAAGTGGATGATTGCGGAACTTATGGGTGGACCTCTGAGGGACGAGCGCAGCGAGTTCCGCAGCCATCTACTCACCAATATACTGTTGAACTGTTTAAATAAGACACTCACCTGAAACGTGTAGTTTTTGAACTAATGAGAAAAATTCACAACTGAGTGAATCAGGTAAGTATTGTACTTAAACAACATATTAGTGAATGGATAGCTGCGGAACTCGCTGCGCTCGTCCCGCAGAGGTCCACCCATAAAGTCCGCAACAATCCATTCGTTTGTACTTGAATAATTTGTCACATTATATTACTAGTTTGATAAAGTAACATTACTAATTCCTGTTAATAGGCAAATTGAGAAAAAGTGAATAATCATAATCTTACAAATTTTGACTTTAAATAATAAGTTATTGTTTAAGTACAAATTAGTCGATTGTTGCGAAATTTAAGGGTGGACCTCTGCGGGACGAGCGCAACGAGTTCCGCACCCATCTACTCATCAATATACTGTTGAACTGTTTAAATAAGACACTCACCTGAAACATGTAGTTTTTGAACTAATGAGAAAAATTCACAACTAAGTTAATCAGGTAAGTATTGTACTTGAACAACATATTGGTGAATGGATGGCTGCGGAACTCGCTGCGCTCGTCCCGCAGAGGTCCACCTATAAGTTCTGCAACAATTCACTCGTTTGTACTTGAATAACTTGTCACATTATGTTACTAGTTTGGTAAAGTTACATTACTAATTCCTGTTAATAGACAAATTGAGAAAAAGTGAATAAGCATAATCTTACAAATTTTGACTTTAAATAATAAGTTATTGTCTAAGTACAAATAAGTGGATTGTTGCGAAATTTATGGGTGGACCTCTGCGGGACGAGCGCAGCGAGTTCTGCAGCCATCTACTCACCAATATAGGTACTGTTGAACTGTTTAAATAAGACACTCACCTGAAACGTGTAGTTTTTGAACTATTGAGAAAAATTCACAACTGAGTGAATCAGGTAAGTATTGTACTTGAACAATATATTGATGAATAGATGGCTGCGGAACTCGCTGCGCTCGTCCCGCAGAGGTCCACGTATAAGTTCCGCAATAATTCACTCATTTGTACTTGAATAACTTGTCACATTATGTTACTAGTTTGGTGAAGTTACATTACTAATTCCTGTTAAAAGTGGTGTCAATATATAGAAAAATACCCTGTACAAATAAGTGGTTTATTGCGGAACTTATGAGTGCACTTCTGCGGGACGAGCGCAGCGAGTTTCGCAGCCATCTACTCACCAATATACTGTTGAACTGTTTAAATAAGACACTCACCTGAAACGTGTATTTTTTGAACTAATGAGAAAAATTCACAACTGAGTGAATCAGGTTAGTATTGTACTTGAATAACATATTGATGAATAGATGGCTGCGGAACTCGCTGCGCTCGTCCCGCAGAGGTCCACCTATAAGTTCTGCAACAATTCACTCGTTTGTACTTGAATAACTTGTCACATTATGTTACTAGTTTGGTAAAGTAACATTACTAATTCCTGTTAATAGGCAAATTGAGAAAAAGTGAATAATCATAATCTTACAAATTTTGACTTTAAATAATAAGTTATTGTCTAAGTACAAATAAGTGGATTGTTGCGAAATTTATGGGTGGACCTCTGCGGGACGAGCGCAGCGAGTTCCGCAGCCATCTACTCACCAATATACTGTTGAACTGTTCAAATAAGACACTCACCTGAAACGTGTAGTTTTTAAACTAATGAGAATAACTCACATTTGAGTGAGTCAGGCTAGTATCGTAATTACACAACATATTGATGAATAGATGGCTGCGGGACGAGCGCAGCGAGGTCCAGGCAAAAATATCATAATATTTATATAAATATCAAAATATCCGACATTTTATGGTATATACCCAAAATGTGATATTTATGATATTCTCATAAAGCAAGTTTTATTTTTCTTTCACTAGAATTCAACTTTCATGACGTCAGGTTTTCTATAGTATGTTTCATTGCAGTTGATAGTACAAAGCGAGTATTAGGACTATAAAGTAATTGTAAATCTTATGCTTTGCAATGGTTTTATAATGAGTTTATACTTCTAAACCTCAATTTGACTGCAATGACGCAACCATCGTCGCCTGTACTCTGTACTGTACGCGATTAATATTTCGCGGGTGACGTTATAAAAGTAGAATGTTACTTGTCATGATCCCAGCCCCTCCTGGGTACCTATTCTTGAAACCAGGGACCAGCGCAGCGTTTGCATGAGAAGGATTGCTCCGAGGATTGCTCTGTCTTTCTCAATAATATACAAAATGATTGTATGAACAACAAAGATGGGAAATTCGTTCTCATGGGAACGTTGCTCCCTTGTTCCAAAAATAACAGCTCTGGTTACGAAAAGCGTTTTAGCGTCGTTTGGTTACTTACTGGTTAATGTTAAATATCGCTGACCATATCCTAACCGGAATCCTAACATTCCTAACCATTTACGTTACTCGCCCAATCTCAATTTTACCATAACTAATCCAACCTGTATAACTGAATTTCAAATACTTTTGTGGGGATAAATATCATGATATTTTTTTAAAAAATATCGGGATATATATCATGATATGCATATATCAGCAGATATATATTCTCGCGCCTTGTGACTAATGCTATCAAAATAGAGTTAAAGAACAGGCAATGTGAAATAGAAAATGTAAGAAATGTTTGTTGCATTTTTATTGTCAAATTCAAAGATCAAACATCGGTGTG